TTCTCCCAGAAGGATTGTGGTTTTGTCACATAAACTTTGACATACTCCAGTCTTGCTTTTTATGCCTTTGTGTCAGCAGTGGTGTCCTCCTGGGTCTCCCACCATAGTGTCCCTTTTCATTCAGATGACGACGGATAGTACGAGCTGACACTGTTGTACCCTGTGTCTGCAAATCAGCTTCAGTTTGTTGGGAAGTTAATCTGGGTTCTGTATCCACCATTCTAACAACTCTTAATTGTAATTTTTCAGTACTTTTGGTCTTCCATCCATATCCAGGGAGGTTAGCTACAGTGCCATGGGCTGTAAACCTCTTGATGATATTGCGCACAGTGGATACAGGAACATTAAGATCTTTGGAGATGGACTTGTAGCCTTTAGACTGTCAATGTTTTTCCACGGCTTTTCCTCTCAAATCCAGAGACAACTCTTTACACTTCATTCTTTTCTCCATACTCAGTGTCACAAACAACACAAAGGTTGAGTCAACTTTTCTCCATCTTAACTGGTTGCATGCATGATCACTATATTGCCCACACCTCTTACTTGTGCCTACACCTCTTACTTGCAACATGTGTGTCTGCATACAAATTAAAGGAGCATCACATGCTTGAAAAGCAATTATTTCTTACAATTCAGACAGGGTGCCAATAATTTTGGCTAGTGCATTTTGGGGTTTCTGTGTGGGATTGTATCAGATTTGACTTTTCTTCTCTGTGTTTTTGTTCTAATGCAAATGAAAGAAATAACCACTTTTGCAACTGCAACAATTTTCTGAGATGCAAACGAAAGAAATGAACACTTTTGCAACTGCAACAATTTTCTGAGAGAAGGGTTGCATTTTCTGACAGAATTGCAAGGGTGCCAATATTTTTGGCCATGACTGTACCTAAATGAATGTGTGTAAAAAGGGAAATAAAATAATGGACTGCACCATTTTCATGGTTGCGCAACAACGCAGACTTTTCCGTCTTCTCTTTCATTCTTGCGGATTCGCCTTGTTTCTCCGAGTGGATCATCTACTGCATCAATATCAGAAGCCTCACTGGGAAACAAAGCAGATTAAGAAGTCAATTGCAGCTCTTCAGAATGCTTAATATGAATTTCCAAACAACATGTTAGAGTCAAGACCACAAATAGAGAGAGAGAGAGAGAGAGAGAGAGGGAAGGAAGACAGTTACACAGCTTCTATTGCATGTTCTGTGCCATCAAATTGGAACGGATGTATAGTGACCCTAAAATGATTTTCAAGCAGCTTCTATTGCATGTTCTGTGCCGTCAAATTGGAACCAATGTATAGTGACCCTAAAATGATTTTCAAGGTAAGTGTGATATTTAAGGAGTGGTTTTACCAGTTCCATTCCCCCAGTGAGCTTTCATGATGAGGTGGGGATTCGAACCTTCTTCTTCAGAGTCCTAGACCATTATTCTATCCACTGTACCATAATGGGAATCATAAGTTACCTATTTGATGTGTACAATTGCAGAACTCTCTTTCTGGAAGAATTGTACAAAGAAAATCATATGGCAGGGCTGTAAGCTGATTTGAACATCTTTATGCAGTGGGTTACACCATTCCTTTCCTGAGCTGAAGCCCACTGAAAGTCAGAAAGGAATCTCTTAGTACAGACATCCCATTTCCCCCCCTCCTCTTTCCAGTCCAAGAGACATCACTTAGAGAGGAAACGTGTTTGGGATGGAGTCTGGAGATGTGCGCAATTGCATTTTATTTTGAATGACATAGATGGCTCTTGGCCATACTTAGATTGAGCACCAAAAATTAGGTTGGGAAGAAATGTTCTTCCAGGTCACTCTCACAGCAGGAAATGTCTCCCTCTCCCCTTGCTTTCCCTTGTTTGGAAGGATCATCTCAGTCTATCTGTTCCATAGGCGTTCTGTCACAATGATGTGTTGCCCAAACTGAATATGGGTAAGCAGTAGGCAAACATTGAGCTGTCTTGGCAGCTGTCTGCAAGAGGGACCTTTGGGTCCCTTTTGATGAGGACTCTCTGCACAGTGGCTCTTTAGCATCGAATG